CAACACGAGCATTTTCTTTTCCAACGCGCAGCGTACAACTGAATAGACTACTCTCCGAGCAGTCGTTCAGTTGCGTCGACCGTATTACGCTAGCGCAAGTCGTTTTTACGCAGTGTAGGAAGACGCTTCCATTTGATTTCCATTAGACATGTCCTCAGCGTTTTACGCCGACCGAATTACGTTCTACGCCGCGTAAAATGTGCGTTGCTAGGAAAACGCTGCTTTAAATATCGTGACGCAGTTCTGATGGCAAAACATATCTTATTCAATTTTTCTGAATTCTGAATTTTTTTCTTTTTGTGAGTGTGTTGACCAATTTAGTTTTTTGTTTCATTGAAAATTAATTTATTTTCATTGAACCAGGATTTTGTTTTAGAGAATATTGCATTTGCTTTATGTTGTATATCTTGTGCAGTTGTAGCCCCAGTCAATAGGTTATTGGTGTCATCAGCAAAATTTACCATACTTCCCTCTTCATTTTGCATATCTTTGCATAAGTCATTCAAGTAAATAACAAACAGTATTGGACCCAGTACACTGCCTTGGGCAACTCCCACACCACTTGTTAAAATTTTTCATTTTTTTGGCATCATTTTCGTATGCAATGATTATACGATGGGTTCTATTTGAAATATAAGAATATATCCATTTATTTGCAATACCCCTGATTCCGTACATCTCAAGTTTCTCTGTTATGTGCTCTATACCGGGTGCCCACGAGATTTCTTTCCGGCTGCTGCCATTTTTTTATTTGTTCATCGATACCAACGAAACTTGGTAGGTTTGATATTCTAACGGAACGCCATTTTTGTGCATCTACGACAAGTTTTCTTGACTTCCGGTTTCACCGGAAATTGCCGAAACTTTCGATTTTGAAATGACACACTCTGTATATTTTTTGTATTCTACAGATTGTTTCACGTCCTAATGTACCACTTTTAAATCGAGTTTTGCCCAAATTTCGTTTTCAAATTAAATTTTAGGTAAAAAAAAATTCTTACATAATAAAACAAAAATTTTTGAACGAAAATTAGGAAAAATGTCGTAGTGTATTATATCGTTGGATTCGCTTTAAAAAACTGCATTTAGTAATGTTATGAAAGTGATGTTTCTATTCCAGTTTTTGAGCTAGGGCAAAAATACTGAAATAATGAAGTTTAGAGCCGTCTATCAAAAAAATTTACAAAGATAAAATTGAGTTTGTATTTTTCTGAAAGTAAGTAAGGTATGTAGAGTCATTTTAGGATGATCATGGCACTCTAGTTAAATAAATATAGTTTAAAAAAAACTAAAAAACACGCTTTTATAGTAAATTGAACTAAAAAGTGAAAAATAAAACAGAAAATATTAATGAACAAAAAATATTAGAATTATTGTGAAAAAAGCGTGGGGTGCTTTGTTCCACATTTCTCGTACATTGAGCACCCCACGCTTTTTTCACAATAATTCTAATATTTTTTGTTCATTAATATTTTCTGTTTATATTAAAAATTATTTTTCACTTTTTAGTTCAATTTACTATAAAAGCGTGTTTTTTAGTTTTTTTTAAACTATATTTATTTTTCACTTTTTAGTTCGATGTATTATTTAGTTGTTCATTTTTTTATTTTGAAGAAAAAACTTTAATTCTTATTTGTGTTTTGTTTATCAACGGCTAGTGCGTCGCACCGCACCGGTATCACACTCACACTGAGTGTGTCATTCCTGAATTCGTCCCAGAGATTTCCAGACTTTTGCAGACATTATCCAGACTTATCCAGAGCTTTCCAGAGTCTTCCAGACTTCATCCAGATTTATCCAGACTTGTACAGACTGATCCGGATTCTGGAAAATGATCCCTAGGTCTTTTGGGACCTTTTCCAGAATTTTTCCGACGCTTTCAAGAAGTTTCCAGGCCTTTTCCAGATGTTTCAAGAGATTTCCAGACTCTTCCAGACAATATCCAGACTTATCCAGAGTTTTACAGACTTCATCCAGATTTATCCAGCCCTTATCCAGACTTGTACAGACTGCTCCAAATTCTAGAAAATGATCCCCAGGTCTTTTGGGACCTTTTCCAGAATTTTTCCGACCCTTTCAAGAAGTTTCCAGGCCTTTTCCAGACGTTTCCAGACTTTTCCAGACGTTTCCAGACTTTTCCAGACATTATCCAGACTTATCCAGAGCTTTCCAGACTTCATCCAGATTTATCCAGACTTTATCCAGACTTTTTCAGACTGATCTTGATTCTAGAAAATGATCCGCAGGTCTATTGGGACCTTTTCCAGAATTTTTCCGACCCTTTCCAGAAATTTCCAAGTCTTTTCCAGACGTTTCCAGAGATTTCCAGACTTTTACAGACAATATACAGACTTATCCAGACTTGTACAGGCTGATCCGGATTCTGGAAAAAGATCCTCAGGTCTTTTGGGACCTTTGGCAGAATTTTTCCGTCCCTTTCCAGAAATTTCCAGGCTCTTTCCAGACGTTTCCAGAGATTTCCAGACATTTTCCAGACTTTTCCAGGCTTTATCCAGATTTATCCAGACTTGTTCCAGCTCACTTGGCTTGTTCCAGGTTCTTGTTCATACACTTCCCAAGGGTGCAAAAGTTCGCACGCATCCCTATGTGCCCGTGCGATAAACATTTTCAATGTTACTTACAAACATATGTACATACATACATACAAACATACATACATACATACATACATACATACATACATACATACATACAAACATACATACATATACATACAGGTGATGCTAATATAAGCGTGTTAAAAATTAAAATTCAATTTAAAAACAAAATTTGTACAAAACTCGATTCAAAAGTGATGCATTAGGACGTAAAACGATTTGCAGAAACCGAAAACTAGAAAATATACAGGGTGTGCCATTTAAAAATCAAAAGTTCCGCTCATTTCCAATGAAACCGGAAGTCAGGAAAACTTATCATAAATGCATAAAAATGGCGTTTGGTTAGAATATCAACCCTACCAAGTTTCGTTGATATCAATTGACAAATAAAAAAATGACAGCCGGAAAGTAATCTCGTGGGCAACCGGTATACATATGGAATCATATGCTTTGGTTAGATCCAAAAATATGCCCAGAGCCATTTCGTTTCCCTCAAGAAGTGGCAAGTTACCCTGAGTGAACTCAAAGATCGCGGTTTGTGTTGATTGCCCCTGTAGATATCCATGTTGATTGTCTGTAAATAATTTATTCTGATGGAAATATTTTAGTATCCGTGAACAGACTATGATTTCAAATACTTTGGAGAAGCTGGGTAATAAGCTTAGGGGCCTGTAACTTTCTACTTTGTTTGGTTCTCCACTTTTGAATATAGGCTTGATAAGGGCAATTTTTAAAGGTTCAGGGAATATACAAACTTCATAGAATTGTTTATTATGTACGATAGTATGACACTTAAGGAATCAAGTGATAGTTTCACTATAGCTCTAGGAATGTCATCGTCTTTATCAGAATGGTTTATTGAACTGTAACCCATGGGATTATCATTTGAGTTTTTTTTGGAGTTGTGATATGATTGTATTGAAGTAAGTAGGTATTGAAATTGTCCTCAACTACTCGAGGACATTCTTTAAATGGATAATTTTGGTTGTTTTTGGCTTTGTCTGTAATTTCATTGCATATATTCCACATAGTTTTGTTTTTGTTGTCTGATCTGTTGATTTTATTCTCGTAATAATTTGCTTTCTCCCTTCTCAGACAGGAATCATATTCTTTTTTAGTTTGTTTATGCATATTATTATATTCGGGTAATAAAGTGTTTAACCTATTTCGAATTTCATCAATTTTAGAGCAGATTCCTAACCTTAATTTACATTTTTTATTGATCCAGGGTTGTTTAGGAAAGCACTCATTAAATATACCTGAAAATATTGGCATAAAACCAAAACCTCTCCACTGAGCATTTACATCAGACTTTTTAACAGCCAAAATTGATTCCCAGTTTTGGTCACTTAATTTATTTACAAAATCTGGTTTTTCCCTCTCCCCAAATATTCTTCGAAAATACACTGTTGTTTTTCAACTAAGGGCTATGTAATAGTTATTTATGTATCAAGGGAATTATGAAAGTGTTAATACCCCAGGGCAAAGTATGTGTCCCGAGGGCCCTTGGCCCGAGGGACACCAATTGCCCGTGGGTATTAACACCTGATAATTCCTGTGGTACATAGATAATTTTATTTCCTACTGAATTTACTGTATTTTGTCCATTTTTATAAAGGAATAAACCATAAACCAAAATTTCTATTTTTTCTCAAAGTTTTACCTATTCAAGGTAAAAGCGGGAGTTATAGAAATCCTTAACTCCCGCGCGGGAGTTATGAAATCCTTAACTCCCTTGGGAGTTAAGACCCTGTTTATGATTATCGTAACCAAGGTATTATATGGTTATAATAGTTCAGTAGGAAATAAAAATAATTTTTTGGGCAAAATGATCTGACACATGCATATTAAATACACAACTACATGTTCCAATTTTCTACATTTGTAAAGAAAGATGTTATTGATGCCACTTTTGGAGTTGGCAGTGATTCTAGTATATTGGTTTATTGTTACTTCTAAGTTGAACGATCGTACAATATTCAATAGTATGTCCTTATTTCTATTTTGTTCAACCATTCCTATATTAAAATCACCTGCCATTAGCAAAAGTTTTTCTTCTGAGCATATTTTATGTAAGATTTCCTCTAGTTAATTGAAAAAAATAAAATAAAAGTTTGCATTCTTTGTGTTTCTCTAATTCACATTCTATCCTATCAATCACATTACCATCATTACCTATTAATTGTAAACTCTGATGTCCAATCCAATTTTTCTAGGTTCCTTGAATGTGTTCAATGTTGATGACGCTTTGCTATGGTCGTTTTTTTCCCCTTTGTTATTTTTGCTTGTGTTTGTGTTTGTGCTTCTTTGGGTGTCTATTATAAAAAATCACCTCCATTAGTTTTTTGGTGGATATCGAACTTATATCTTCTTTTTCCTACGTTAGGGGGCCAGAATGGTTTCGCACATCTCGTCTTTTTTGACTAAAGGTGCCGTCACAACAAAACTCTTCAAATTTGACTTGGTTAAAAGTTCTGACACCATGATTTTCAAGTTCTCAAATCCGGGTTGCTTTTTAATATGTTTTTCGACCATCTCCTTTGTAACATGGTTGTTTACACGATAAATGTTCAGCCATACTTTGAGTTTGGGTCCTGCAAATCCCTGTGCAAGTTCTTCTTGCGTAGCTGTTCCTGTACCAAGATGCTTGCTCCTGCTGTACCATTGTGTAACCATCTCCTTGCTCTGATGATATTTCATCCTGTTGTTCTGGAACAATAGGTATTTACATCTAGTTTTCAATGTAGTGTTGTTGTTGTTGTTGTTGTTCTTTTTGTTTTGTTGACATTTGGAAATGTGTTTGTTGTGCATTTCAACCCTGATTTTGGGCATTTGCTGTGTCTCTTCTCGTTTTCCCTGATGTTTTGTTTGGCAACGTCGGAGAATTTTTGAGGTTGGAGCTGTTTGTTTTGGTTTTTTTCAAGAGTATTTATTCTGTCCACCAGTAATCTATTATGTTCCTTTAGGACACTATTATTTTCTTATAAGATGTCGTTCTTTTCTTGTACTTCGTTTAGCAATCTATTCAGGTACCTACTCAATTTTTCTACCTCTAGCAACTTCTCATTATTTTTTTCTGTTTCTTTATTGACTTCATTCTGGTTACCCGCCACTTTTTCGCAACAGACCATGTGGCCGCTACTAATAACTTTTAATTTTTTCCTTTTTGCACAGGATATATGGTAAGCACTGTTACAATTTACGCAGATTTGGGTTTTGCACACTTTTTTAACACAACATTTATAGATATTTTTGAACTTTTCCGAGCTTTTGCTGCTTTTTTGGCTCTCGCTGTCACTGAGATCATTCTGGCTAGACGCCATTTTCATCGAATCAACTAACACTTTTTTCAGTAGGTACCATCGTCACCAAAAGTATCTGGCACAAAAATAATGCATAATAATCTCCTGAACTAATTCTTCCATCATTCATTTCAATGCATTTAATTCATAGTTTGACATGGTTTGACACATATTTGACAATAAAATTCATATAATAGTACAAGAGCTAATATGATGCTGTCCCAGTTACTTTTGGTGACGATGGTACGTACAATAATGCAAGAAAAAGGTAGGTACCTGCATTATCAACCCTTAAGTTCACCTAATTTGATGACATGTTTAGCAAATTATTGAAAAAAACACTAAGATATTTTCGCCTTAGAGATCCACTATTCCCCAGATTAAATTATTCTTAACAGATGGTCAAAATAAGGGCTCATCTTTATCTCATCCGCAATATTCACTCTATAACAGATTTACCCTTCGAGTTAATAGACCTGTCCGGGGGGCTATTTTCAATCATCAATGTTGAATAATGTGGTGAAAAGTAATTTCATACACGCACTCAGTCTCTGGAGATTTTCCGCTTTCCCCGAGTCTTTGCAGATGATTTTGCCCCCACATTATTAAAAGATTTTGTTGCGGTAATATTAAATGTCTATTAGAAGGGGGCGATATGGTATCTTGTTTCGTTTTGTTTTCGAAACTACTTCTCTAGTTATACTAATCGAGAATATGTTATAAGACTGGGAAATATGTTTTTACAGTACAAGTAGAAAGTAGAAGTAGGATGATGACCAGGACCCCAAAACTAGTACTATGTAAAAATGCAACTGGACCTGACATGTACAAAATTTTATTTCACATTGTTTAAAAACATGAGAAGGTACAGTGAAAAGTTTTAATTTTATAAGCGATTTTTACAAAATGTACAAAAAGCGATGGTGCATATGATCTTCGTCTCGTCTACTATTTTTTACTACAGTCTAATGTTTTGAAGTCATATAAATTGGAAAAGTTCTGGTTGAAATATTCTATTTTTTCAAGGCAACACACAAACAGATGTCCATGATAACATGAATGTAATAATTTCTTTTAAATTTCCTTCGTAAATTGATATTCTAAATACATAGTAATGTAATATCATCTTCGTAGAAAATAAATCACAAAATTGCTACTTACAATTGTCATCACAAATGTTTCAATACAACCTACACACGACACACAATCATGCACAAACTTCTTCCCAACTCATCAAAACACTATATTTCACTTGGGTCCCGATCAACACACCTGTTCGAAAAGAAATTCGGAACTAACTTAAAGGAAGTTGAAAGTCGGATACCTTTTTCTTGTTCCCACGCCCGTAAAGGTTATAAAATCGGACCTGTCTGAGGGCTATTGTATAGTGCCAATTGGAAGAATATTGCATGTAATTTGTCCAGTATTGATATAGTAGAAAAGACAAGACAGTAAAGGAAGACGGGGGTAATAAATAACTTGGGGGATGGTTTGAGGTGTGACAAAGTCAGGTAGGATGTTTATATGAAAATTTGATCTCTACCGACCCAAAAGTTTATTATAAAAAAATACCTAATATACCTACTTCTAAACTAAAAAAAAATTTAGTGGAATTTAAAATATGTAAAATGTTCCCCTTTTGCTGCTAATGTCCTAAATTGATTTATTAAATTTTCCACCCAAGCAGTTAACTAAAAAACAAAAGAGGAAAAATTTAAAAAGTGGCTGAAACAGCAAAATTAACTTTGACAATCATCGAGGATCAAAGAGTTTTTTAAACTAAGCATGGCACGAATTCATAGAGGGTTTAAATCTTCTGACTTTGATCGAATTAGAGCGAAAACGTTTGAGGCACAATGGAAAGAAAAATCGATGATGGAGCTAACGCGATTTTTATATTTACAAATTTAACATTAAAAACGAAGTTTACCCACTTAAAATGAAATCAAAAACAACTTAATAGCAATCAAACTTAACTGAGCTATACTAAGTCCGACTTCACACATAGCCGATTACAGCGTTTACGACCATTCCTATAAATGATCGCATAAAAGTGCACATTAAATTCTTATCAAAATGAAATTACTGCTTGGCCATAAAGTTCCACAAAGCCCCAAGTAAAATTATAATAAAGTTATTTCTTTGACCACGCAACAACCCACCAGGCGGGTTTACACACTTTTCACATAAAATAGGGTTTCGTTCAGATTGAAGAATATACTATTATTTTTTGGTCTCAATGGCAGAATGGTAAGGAGTACCTAATATGTACTAAGTATGTATGTAGAGAATTTAAAAAAAAAATAGATCTTACACCAATTGCTTTTAAATGAGAAAAGAAACTCGATTGGAAAAAAAGATATTATTATTAAAAGGTCAAATAGGATTTCTATCGAAAGCAGGTCCTGTTAACAGACCTTGAAGATTATAATTACAGGCAAAATCTTCTTGGAAAGTCTTCAACAGCTATAAGACCCATAACAAGAACATGATGGGTTAGAAGATAGTGGTTATGTTTATTAACAAGACGGTGTACTTGAACAAGTCATTCTCTAGTAGATGGTTTCTTTGGGCTGCTCGTTCTCTTGACTTGACCTCCTTGGACTTTTTTTTTCGATAATTTGATGGTTTACATGATGCAGTTTGCGAATAGTCGGATAATTCTACAGAACCCTATATAACCAATCAACTGACAATGGATCAAACAGACCTACAAAGAAAGGTCCAAAACCAAGAATCGGAAGATATTCCGAATGTTTCCATAGATGAAATCCAAAATGCTTCAGAAAAGATAAGCAACAATAAAGATCCGAGGGAAGATGGTGTAATCGTAGAAGCTATAGAAATAGGAGGATCAACACTAATTAGAAAAATTTAAAATCTGTTGAATCTGTGTCTACAGAGTCATAACATTCCGGAAAACTGGAATAACCCAATTATAATCTTGCTACATAGAAAAGGTGATAGAGCAGACCTCGAGAACTAGGTACAGACCAATAAGTCTACTCTATAACATATACTCGCATAATAGTAAATCGACCAGATGCTAAATTTGACTTTTGTCAATCCCGGGAACAGGCTAGTTTCCGCTCTGGGTTCGGTACCCACGATCACCTTCAGTATTGGTATTGGTGTTTGTAGACTTCCAAAAGGCGGTTGACACCGTGGAACTTCCTGAAATCTTGAGATCACTAGGAAAAAGTAGAGTTGATCACCGATATTCCGAAATTATTGAAAACATTGACGACCACCGTAAATCTTCACTCCACCACCAGAAAAATTAAAATGAAAAGAGGAATCCGACAGGGTGATACTATGTTATCCAAGCTCTTCATCACAGTTCTCGAATATGCTTGCTTATAGGAAATTTTCTTGGGAGCAGATAGGAAAAATCATCGATGAGGAAAATCTTAATAATGCAGATGATGTCCTAAAATCAGACAGTCTGGGCGAAGGTAAAGAAATGCTCCAGGAACTTCAAAATTCTTCACAAGAAGTGAGCTTAAAGATGGACTTCTTCCAGTGAGCAAATGCAGCTAGGCAATAATAATATAGAAATAGTGGGACAAGTACGTATACCTGAGTCATGAGATGAGAATTCACAGAGATAACCAAACATGCGAATTGACGAGATGGGATAGGCAGCATTCGCGAAAATGAGGGATGTGTTTAGGACTGACTTCCTCCTTCTTCCAGTCCTGGCCTTTGACTCTCATCAAAGCATCAGCAGAAAAGTTGAAAGTAAATACACAGAGACGAATAGAAAGATCCATGCTTGGATTGACTTTAAAAGACTGAGTAAGGAATCATGAGATCGGCATAAGAACTAGGGCTACGCAAGACCAAGACCAAAACCAAGACTGGTCAATCTTAGACTTGGTAGTATTAGTCTTGGTCTTGATGTTTAAATGGTCTTGGTCTTGGTCTTGATAGTCTTGAAAAAAATTTACACCTACCAAATTTTTAAAAAATATATAACATTAGGACTTCAGAAATAATAAATGAAACTCCTTTTCTGAAAAAATTATGCCAACGTTTGACCGACATCAAAAAATACCGCATTAGGCATTTCACAACACAGAGGAACAAACATCAATTCTCAAATTATTGGAATTTTTATCAATGGAACAGAAAAGTTGACAAACACCACAGCCAAAAAACTGCCATTCTGTACCGAGGAAAAAAATAAATTTCCATTTGAACCATAAAAATAAACCTACCTTACCTACCTGAGCATTCAGGCCAGACAAAGGTTTTCGAGAACCCTCTCGTGAATTTGGAAAAATAATAAATTTGATGAATTAATTTGATAAAAAGACATTAAAAGTAGATATAAAATTTGCATTTTTTTATAAATATTGAGTCGACTTTTCTTTTCAAGAACAAGACCAAGACGAGAGAGTCTCGAAGGAGAGTCTTGGTCTTGGTCTTGGTCTTGGTCTTGAACGTCAAGTCTTGGTCTTGGTCTTGAACGTCAAGTCTTGGTCTTGGTCTTGAGAAGATTTTTTAAGTCTTGGTCTTGGTCTCGGT